GTCGGGCGATGGCTTGAACCATTCTTCTTCGTCGTCATCCTCAACCGCAGGAGGCCCGTCATGTCCTTTCTTCTGTTGGCGTGCTCTCCTGCGTCTTCGGACCCAGTCGGCAAGGCGTGCTTGGTAGACGGCCTCATTCCCATCATCGACACTGCTTAGATCGATCTTTGCTCCATTGACAGTGACTGTGGCGTCTGCAGCCTTCTTCTTTGTCTGGCCCTTCTTTCGCTTGCGGCCAGTTGCTTCTTCCTCGCTAGTGTCAGAGGCATACTGGCTTTCTGGCGAGCTGGCAGTCGTCGGGTCGAAATCGTCCGAGGACACGTCGTTCTCCGTCCTGCGTTTCTTTCTTGGTCGAAGAGAGAACTCACTAGCGACAGAATTCGGTGCTGTTTGGGGTTGTTCTTCGAATCCAGGCATTCGCAGCACTTGGTGGGACTTAGGTTCCTCGTCGTCGCTGCGGAGCTCCTCGGCTGCTGCATCTTCCTCGGCTTCAATGAGAACTTCTGCGAGTTCGCCTTCAAAGCCAGCGGGTCGCTCGCCTCCGATGTTGGAGAAAGGGGTGATCTTTCCAGTTCGGACGAGGAACTCTCGATTCGACTCGCCAGGTAGTCTTCGGGACTTGCTCTTGACCGGGTTTTCATTGACTGCAACCTCCTCTCGTCTCTTATCGATGCGGGCCTGGCAGTCGGAGATGTCGCTGATGATGCGACTGATCTCGAGATCGAGCTTATCAATTTCCTTTTGAATATTCCGTGACTGATACGGGTTACGGCGGGCTCCTTCCAGCTTCTTATGCTGCTCGATCCGCTTGGCTTCGAGTTTCTCTTTGCTGGCCTCTAGTTTCTCGATGCGCTGCTTGTCTTTCTTGTCTTCTGCTTCAACCAAAGCAGCGTTGGCTTGTGTAGTGATATCACGCTCCAAGTCATTTTGATCCCTGATGTCGGCCGTGATATTCCGCAGCAATGCAGCTTCGTCAGAATGGTCCCTTGAGTGAGCTCCGGGTACATCTGGGGGATTATATATGGTGGTGGCTGGGTTGCTTCCCTCCCTAAGGGACTCATCACTGTCCTGGTTACCTTCTTTGTTGGTTGCCATCGTGAATGCTATTTTCAATATCCTTTCATCTTCGACCCAGGAGTTTGAGCTGATACCTTCAGGTATGTAATATTACCGAGAAGGCTTCCCGAAAGAAAGGAACCGCCTGTCAAGGTGCGTCTGGATAAACGAAGAAACTGGAGTTGTCCTAAGGTGCAGGTGAGTTTGCAGTGCGAAAAAAAAGTGATCGCAGGTAAGCCAGATAAGACCTCCCGTAGCTGCCTTAACATAGGCAAGTCTGCAGGGGCCAGCTTTGAAGCCTCTTGCCTTTGGATCCTGATGTGACTCACCGACAATGCTAAGTTAGAAGGCAGCAGGCGCGTCAAGCTCCCAAGATGAATAATGACTTGCTTCTCAAATGATGACGCCACCGGGGGAATGCAGTTGCGAACGGGTCGCGCTATCAGGTGCCATACAGGGGTCTTAAGTGCTAAAAAGAACAAGTGGATCCGGGAGAAAGTGACAGACCAGATTGATTGGATATTCGAGAGGGAAACGGGGCACGTCTGGTGGCTTTTTCTCTTCGCGCCACAGTTACGGACTTGATGACGAGCAAGGTAGCCTGAGCAAGCCACACCTGACTAATCTCCGACAAACGAAATACAGCAAGCACAAGCCATGGCAATAAACGTCCATGCTGCAGCAGTCAACAAATCTTCAACGTCTTTCTGCCTCCTGACCCTATGCTGTTGCTATAGGTCGACCCAACCTTTATACACCCAATTGCACCGAGCCAGTTGATTGAGGTCGAACGGGTGGTGCTCCGATCAGGGAGGAACAACCTCGTTGATAACCAATATGATCAGCCGAAAACACACAGCCGAAATTCTCTCGACAGTTTGTCGGATTGGGTCAAGAACACACTCTTCTGTTGCCCTCCAACAAACCTCCAGCATGTCTCCCGCCTGGCTGCAATCTTTTCTCAATGCCACCGTCAAAGAAGAAGCACCCAGACTGTATGTTTGGAACTTATCCAACCTGGAAGGTCAAACCCAGCCCTTCGGTTCGACGGCCAGCAGTCGCCCCGATGAGCTTACTTCATATCGTCATGAAGACAACCTAAATCGACGGGTTTACATTCTCGGGGTTGGTAACCTTGGTACTCTTTTCGCTAGCTCGCTTGCCTCACTGCCAGAGCCTCCGCCAATAACTCTTGTGGTACACCGGAAGGACCTCCTGCTATCATGGAGGGAACAGCCGGGCATTGAAATTACCCGGGGAGACTCCATTTACAAACATTTGGACTTCGATGTTGAGCTGTGGTCTGAAGAGCCCCCATCCACTGGCCTGAAAAGGGAGGTTGCAGAGGGTCAGGAAATACACAACCTGATCGTAGCGACAAAAGCATCCCAAGCCCTACCGGCAGTCGACCGAATCTGCCGTTACCTCAATGAAACCTCCACCATAGCCTTCGCCCAGAATGGTATGTGCAAACTTTGGCCGCCGCATGGGAAGACATATGCGAAGTCTCGTTACCTCGGAGAATCATATCCCAATTTTCTGGCATGTGTCACGACACACGGCGTGACCTCTCTCGGTCGATTCAAGAGTTTCCATGCGTCCGAGGCAAACCTCAAAATCGGCCCTGTACTACTCAACAAGTTTCCTGAGAAAGCTTCCTATCTGTTAGATGTGCTTTGCCGGGCCCCAACTCTTCACGGAGAGAAGGTTACACAAGATGAACTTTGGATTCTTCAACTGGAGAAGCTCGTCGTCAACTCGATCATCAATCCACTGACCGCTATTCTTCGTTGCAAGAACGGCGATCTTTTCATCGAAAAGGAGGGCGTCTTTGCAGAACTCATCAATGCCCTGTTGCTAGAGGCTAGTAATGTTCTTCAAGCTCTGATCAAGGACCGGAGCACCGACGCAATCATACGCCCGGCATCTCGTGAAGCTACATTTACTACGAAAGTGGAAACGGATCACGAGGACATACGTCGACGGCGCGACCTCTTGAATCGCTTCTCTCAACCCCAACTAAGGGAGATGTTGTATAGTGTTGGAAACAAGGTTAAAGACAACACAAGTTCAATGCTTCAGGATGTCCGGGCCGGCAAGCAGACCGAGATCGACGAATTCAATGGCTGGCTAGTAGAAATGGCGACTTGCCTTAACGACAACTTGGATATTACCCATCACCGCATACTAATTGATCTTGTGCACGACGGCAACTTTCTACCAAAGGAATCACTCGTCAGCTATTTTCCTTCTTGGAAAGGGTCTAATTCTGCAGCTGTCTGAAGTTACGAAAACATCACCAATCCGAAATCACAATCTAGAAATCACGAGATCACGCAATCTGACTCCTACGCGCCCCCAAAATGCTGTCAATCTCAGCCCCAGCGCTCCACGAGATCTACCTCGATCATACTTAAGAGGTTAATGGTACAGGGGATACCCCTATAGTTGTCCGGTCCAAGCTACCCGTTGTCTGCGAGCACACCGAAAGCCTACGAAATGGGAAGCGACGCGGTACCAGTATACACTCATCACACCATCAGCTAGCATTTTGCCAACTACCATCTTTCTGTCATTCTCTTAACAGTATCTTCTTCACTGGCAGTTACCTGTAATAGAGGCCGCCGAGCTGCACTGCATCGGCGCACGCCCTCCACCAACCTGCCAGTCACACTGTTAATCTAACCGCTCGTCGGGCTTTTGAGAAATCAACGTGGCGGGCGTCGTCCAGAAACCTCCTGTTGCGCGGTCCATCGTTACCGTTACATCCAGGTCGGTTGCCCTCATTTGCCACATCCGCCTCCCTGCCAATCCTTAACAGACTCCAGTATAGGCGTCAGATTCCGCGTCCACGTACCACTACCTATAGTACTATATCAGCATCAGATATATGTATCACGCCAGGGGAAGCAAGCTCTTGTGGCTGTCATGGGAGGACCCGGTTCGGAATGCTTTTTCCAAGGAAGCACTCATACTCTTTGCCCCTCAGGATTTTCACCCGCCGCTTACTCGATGCCGCCAACCCTGGTGAGGCGGTGTGAGAGATATGTTTTGAAAAGCTACACCCACACCCATAGGCGGCGATCTACGGCAAAGTAACTTTTCATTTGTGGCCCGGTTCTGAGTGCTTTCGCAAACAGGTCTTAATGATACCTATGCGGGTTATACTGATGATATCCATAGATAACTGTACAGTTGTGCTTCGCATAGCACTCATAGACTGTTTAAAAATCTGCTCATGACGACCAAAAAAATTTCAGCAGCGATCTCGGCGGCTTTATCCCACTTTTTCAAACAGGCCTGTATGGCATTGCGCTTCGTGCACAAAGTTCCTGATCCCAGGCTGACCTGTGGCAGGAAATGAGTTGCAGGCTGCACGCCAATTATTCAGTGGCACTGAAGGCCCTGACCTGAAGGCAGCATGTGCCTAGAGACTTCTGGGCATGAAGCCACAAGGCCTTATAGCAGCACGACGTTGTTCCCTACATGCGTTTTAGGGCTTGCTTTGCTGTTGGTCGCTTGCTACACCCCAGTTGCTCCATGGCAGCCGCCGTTCCCGCCAAGCAGCCAAATTGGAAGCGGAGCCAATGACTGGCGGGAACACACCGAAGCCAAGCTAATAAGGATTTTATTGCATCGCCGTTTTTGCCGCGGCAGGCTATGTGTCTTGCGATCCAAGAAACGAAACCAGCTAGCATCGAAGACAAAAGCCACGCGGTGGAGAGTCTTGTGGAGCCGACATTTGTTTGCCGATTGCGCTCCATCTTCGACTAGATGGATCCAACTCATCGTGATGCCCCAATTCTCCGATTGGCTAGCAGGGATTGGTTAAAAGCTCCGGTGCATATTTGACGGAGATTTTCTTGACGAGGAGGCCTGTCTGATGGACTTTCATTAGCACAATGTGGAGACCCTGGATGACTTCAATCTCGACAAGGCTCTCAGGGACGAGTAGCACTCGCGGGGAAGCAAGCAAAAACAACAACCTGCTCTGGTGAGAAATCTGGACCTTTGCCAGCCCACACCATTCAAGTCCCAGGGGCTTGTCTACAGGCTCAACCTTCATTCAGTGCTGGGGCAGGCAGAAAACTCTTTTGGTGTGGTTGCACTGCAGCAGCGACCCGCATAGCCCCCCCGCCGTGCTGGTGGTCGACCTGGCCGCATATGCATGTTACTCGTTGTTGCCCAGATAAACAAAAAACAGCCCTTCGGATAGCGATCGAGTGGCAGAGGCGGAGACAGAGAGAGAAACCTAGCGAAATCGATCCTTTGTGCAGCGACGCGAAACACATATACCCGGATGTTGTCGGCCCTCGGCTACGGGACTGTCAGTTAGCCTGCCGCTTGATCCAAGCTTTCCGGGCTTGTGCGCAAAGGAACTGGCCCCGAGAACGCAACAGCCATGGGTTCCTTGTCCAATTCTATGGTTGAGAGGCATTGTAGGGTTTGTCGGGTTGCGGCATATTGTCCTTGGTGTGGTCGTTATTTGAAGCCGTCGCTGATCTGGCATCTCGGCCATGACGGCTTTCCCGCCGCTGCCCGCCCCGTCGCCGCCTGACCGCCTGACCCGCTTGATAACCGCATCAGCACCGAACCCTGAGGCGCAACATGACAATAGAGACGTATCGAGGATCGCGCAGAGATCACAACCCCGGTATACGCCTTTGGGACTCGGCCTAGCATCCCCTGGCTATAGCATTGGGAATCTTCAGGGTTCAACCCGGCAGTTGGCATCCGATAGCCTATCATTAACCGTACATCAGAAGTTTCACGTTGGGCGAGGTATTTGCTGGGCATGTAAGCCCAGTACGAAGCGCGCGAGCCATTGGCGCCCGCTTGAAGCGGTCTTGGGCAGTTGACAGGACAAGAGCGTACCGCTCGGAGCCGGACAAAGGTCGAGGCGTGGCAAGACAATGACTTGCTTCATTTATCTGCCTCTGAGGAAATCCAACTCTACAATTACCGCCGCTGTCAGACATACACGGCTCGGTTCTATGCGCTAAAGGCAAAACGGTTTGTCTATCACCCCATCCCACGCCCAGATTTGGAAAGTGATTTCCCCCAGGTTACAATCTGTTTGAGCACAATCTCTTGCTTGAGCTGTCGACAAAGGACCAACACAACCTGCAAAAGAGGAACAGGGCGGTCATTGCTTCTTGCAAACGTCCAACCAGAGACTGACAACCGTCGACCGAATCCATGTCTCAGATGGTTGGCCCCGCCTCGTTCCCGAATTCTCGATGGTCTGGACCATGATAGCTTCCTCCAGGTGCCGTACCGATGCAGTCAATCCAGTATCACTTTGTATCAGAGGTAATATGCGGAGACAACTCGACCAAGGCTAGCCCGTCACGTCACTGTCACTGCATGTGCGGGACGTACGACAGCTTGCCTCGTGTGGATGCGCCGCATTTCACACCGATCGGCCCAGAGAGGAACCTGAAAACAGCAACCACCCTGTACGAACTTTGCGTGTGACTTTCCGGGCAATTGACCGCTTTTTTCCCTCTCCTTCTCTGGAGTCGGCCTCTCTGGCTGGGGGGGGGGGGGGGGGTGGATGGGGCTGCAAGACGTCGAGAGTGGGGGTACATATATTAGAATTCCTGGCGTCTTATAACGAATCCTGGGACCGAGTGTTTCAACGGCCATAAGCCGCTGCCAGGCCGACTGCCCTGGGTGGACGCAGAGCCAAACGAAAGCCTGCATGGTGATCAAAGGGCTACCTGTCAGTGCCAACGAATGGAGCCAGTGATAGAGCCGGATCATACTAAGGCCATTGTCAAGGGGAATAGGGGAAAGGCTACCCTAGGAACGAGGCCCTTTGGGCATCCCGACGCGATCACGCCCAACGCGGCACACCCGGAGCAGGAGCCCACCCGACGGGCCTTTCTCACATGCCTGACCTGGGCAAGTTGCCGATTTCCAGGGCTAGCCTATTTTTCATGCCGATATGGCAGTGGTCCCATCCGCCCCGTTTGGGTGGTGGAAAGCCTGCGCCGGAGCAAAATAGGTATGGCAAGCTTGCTCAACCCTGCCTTTCGTCCCCGCACTTCGGACCGTTCGATCTGTACCCCCTAACGCCCTCATCACTCGCCAAGGTTAACTCGCGTAGACCTGGACACAGGCGCTGGGGAGCGAGAAACGAGAATAACGCCGACCCGTCCGAGATAGATGAGGATGGTCTTTTCTCGCCTAAACTTGGCACGAAACATTATGGCGCCAAAAAATACGCCTTCGCCCCGCCCGAGCTCCGTCACCGGGAATCCGAGCTCAACGCGACAACGACGATGGTCTATTACCTCTGGCTTTTTGGCCTTCTCGGTCCTTCGGGAACGAGGGATGGAATGAACCTGGGAGCGTGCCGGAGCGGTGCCAAAACATCTGCCACGAGAGGGAAACAGGAATGGGCGATGACACGTCAACGCAGGTACGTCCACGTTTCGGCCGGGCCTTTGGGGGGAGGGGGGCGAGAGGACTTTTGACGGGCTCAGAACTATACGTCGCACAAACAAGACAACGAGCGCACCTGTGCCGGCCCGAAGTGACGAGTGCTGGGTCGCGCTCAGCGCATGTTCTGCCGCAGGATCTGTGTCCGGCCGTAGACGCCTCTAGGTCCACCTCGATCGCGTTGCTGGCCCTGCTCGTAGCATTACGGTGGATTCAGGGCGAGGTTGCAATATCGGTCATGTCGTACGACATTGACCCGAGCGACTCGGGGGAGAAATATCGCTTATACATAGTATGGCATGGGATGGCACGTACGAGAAAAGAAAAGAAGGGGGAAAAAAACAAGCCAGCCAGACTGACTCATCACCAGCGCGGCCCATTCCCCAAGCTCGACTTCTGTCACACACGCGTACACACACGCGTACACACACACCCATCCCCACCCCCTTCTCCTACCAAAAGCTCAGTAGAGCCCGTCTGTCAGGGTAGTTACCAAGCCTCATGGAAGCGTCCACGTTTTGCCCAGGAGCATACGCATATTGAGAAGCGAATCAAATCTAAGTTGGAGGCTATAAAAAATAAAATACAAAGTGGTGAGGCTGCAGAATCGAACAAGAATCGAATAACGGTGGGGGGAATAACGAGCGTCTGGGGGACGACATAGACAGAAAAAAAACAAGATACAAAACAAGCAGAGGACGTCATCGTCGATGCTAATCCATGCACGCATCGCCATGTATGCAGAATGCTTCCCTTAGCCATCTCCCCAAATCCCTCTTTTTTTAATACCCGCAAGACGCCGTATTCAGCCTTCACAACCAGCGACTCCTGCCCGCGGCGACTCGCGATCAAATCGATCCCCGCGGCGCATCGAGAGCAACACTCGAGACCCCGAGGACAAGCGCGGAAGACTCTGCATGGCTGCAGAACGATGACTGTTGTCCAGAAAGAACGTTGAGAAAGCAAAACAAATATGAAGGCCGTATATTGCGTAATCGGAATGTCTCTGTGTGTGTGTGTGTGTGTGTGTCTGGATGTGTATGTGCTTGTGCCCCAAGTCTAATGTTGTGTCATAAGTCGAGATATAAGCGAGCAGATTGAGAAGAAAAAAGCTGAAGTAAAAAAAGGTAACCCGAGGTGTTCGGGGGTATCTCTAGAATTAGGCGGATGGGTAATCCGGCAAAACAAAAGGACAATGCCAGTAAAAAGTTGCGGGTATGGCGTAGAAGTTGAAGTACATATGGTTCAAAAGTAGATGGCTTTAGTTGTCCAACGCAGAGCTGGCGCAAGCCTTCGGACCTTGCGTGCTCTATTGACGATTGACCCAAGCAGTTACCGGGAACGGCGCAGAGACAGATTGTATCGTAGATTTCCCTCGTTCACCAACTCGCTGAGCCGAGGCTGGAGAATGACGTTCGTAGAGGTTAATCTGAAGGCTCCGGATGGGTCGTGTCGTTCCACGTCGCATGATGAAGATCATCGCGTATGGCAAGCTCCTCTTCATCACTGGAGCTGCTGCGTGTACATGTTGTCTCCAGCCGGGGGCTCAGAAGTTCCCGGTGGAGACATTGATTGCTATAAGGGACCACCCGTCAACTCCGCCACGCGTTCGCGGCAGGCCGCGGGAGTGAAACCGGTGCCGACTTTGTTAGCAACGATGCGCCACTTCTCATTCTCGTAGTCTTGCAGTGCAGTGCGGAGCTTTTGGTCCTAGAGAGAGAAATGTCAGCTCGTGATCGCCATGTCACCCAAAGGTGTTTAGCAGCAGTACTCTCTGCTCATGGAGAGGGGTACCAACCGTTTCGTCCGTCCATTGTGTTGTCTTAGCCTTGAGCTTCGTGCAATAGCGAACTTGCAATGTACCTGATGATCTACCAGGGAAGAAGTCTGCAATTTGCTTCCAAGTCAGGGACTTGTTCTCCTTCAGGTCGATCAGGAGTTGGTCGTCTTCAGGAGTGAACTTGAGCTTCGGTCCTCTTGGTCTCGGAGCCGGAGACGGCATGCCTGCCTGTCCGACTACGCTTGGGGCTCCGCCTCTATCTCCACCATCGCCATCATGCCGCATCATTTTGGAAGGGGGGCCTGTATCGGGCAGACGATGATGGTGGTGCGTGGGGGGCTGCACCGCCTGCGCATAAGCGGTTCCCAGAGGGGTTTGCTGCATGCTCTCAAGGTCAGTGTGATCCAAGTCGATCCCGGGGACGGCTAGGTCAAGCTCGTCTGGCCTCGGTCGTTTGGTCCCATGCGGCGTCTGTGTCTGTGTCGGCGTTGACATGGAAGGATACAAGGGTGCGATAACTGGGCCGGGAGCGCCGTAGTGAGGCGGGCCCAGGTGTCGGGCGTGACCCATATGATGCCCCGAATCCATTAGGACCTGGTGAGGATGATGGGAATGATGGGAGTGTTGCTGTTGCTGCTGTTGTTGCTGTTGCTGCTGCTGCTGCTGCTGCTGTTGTTGCTGCATGGCTTGGTGATGAGAATGGTGGCTCGTGGGTGGCTCGTGGAGAGTGGGCGCATGAGCTGCTCCATGATGGAGCGAACTCCTGTGATGATGATGGGAGGACGTCGTGTCATAACTATGCTGCTGTTGACTCTGGTCGCTCGAATGCGATTCTGGTGCAGAATAATCGACATTGTAGTCCCCTACTCGGTAGTTGCCCGCCAGCGTGCCTCCGACGCATGGGTTCCGCCAGAGCGAACCGCTCTGGACGGTCGCCGGGCTCTGAAGAGAAAGAATTGGTTGAGCGAATGCCCTCTCGGGCGGTGTCGGAAGAGGTGAGGGCGGTTGTTGCGACGTTGCGGTGTCGCGGTGATGGTAATAGTCCCTCGAACTACGATCCTGTAACAGCGCTATCGTGTCGCCGTGATGAGAACCCCCCTCCAGAGTCAACGGACATTCGTCCCCGGGAGGTGTGGAGAGAATCGTCGCGGTGTTTGGGGAAGCCTGGGATGTTGGTGTTTTGGGACGATGGTCGAAGCCTCGTCCGAGATGGTTGTAGTGATTGCTGATGGAGGTAATGGCGGAAATGGTGGCGGTGGTGGTGGTGGACGAAAGAGAGAGAGTTGTGGTCTCGTAGGATTAGGCTCCTTGTCGGTGGAGAGCTGCTTGTCTGCACAGCACGACGGATGATTCCCTTTGGCTGACGGAGGGTGGGAGTAAAGATTAATAAGACAGAATAAAAGTCGAGGTAACCATGCTAGTCTTTTTTTCTCGCCTTCTAACTCGTTGTTGCCACACGCTTTTTAAGCTCACGGGAGGTTCCTTTGACTTATTATAAACACCGTTTGGCTCTGGACAAGTGATATAGTAATGAATGGTTAGAAGAGAGAGAGCGCGAGCGTGGGCAAGGGCTGCATTATATCGTCCCATGTGCCTTCTCGAAAAGAGGAACAGAGGGTTATGTGTGGACTCTCTGTCTGGGGGTATGGGAAGGGGACGGAGAGCGAGAGGGACATGTATGGGGTGTGAGGCCAGAGAAAGAGGGTACATCGACCATCGCCGCTTTTGTCACCGGATCAAAGCACACCAGCGATTTGCCGTACGCGAGACGTTTTCCGTACCCGAGCAGGTTGCGGAGACTCGCGTTAACCTTGCCCAGTGATGACGGTAGCATAATTTGGTGATCTTATTATGCCATGGGTTTTGATGCCGGATATAGAAGCAGGAGTATCCGCCGCCGGGCGTGATGATGCAACGGGCGAGGGGTGAGCGTGACACTGACCAGCTCAGAATGATTGACTGACAAGGCCCCTGGGGGACCAGCCCAGGACAATTTCATAACTCTAAGAAGCTTCCCGGCTCAACCCTAGAAAGGCAGGCTGGGCGGCCCAGAGGGGGGAGAGGTCTGGAAAACGCATGGAAGGAATCCAAACGCCTTGAATCGAATGAGGGATGGATGCTGAAACGAGCCCTACCATGCGCTGGCTGGTTGGGGAGGGCATGACAATGGGGTTATTCACAGAACTGCTACCCATGCTACTCGGCCCCCCTGCTTTGCCGGGGAGAGAGAAGAGGGACAGGGGTGCCAGCTCTTGGCTAAAGGCAGTTGATTCTTGAGTGTGTATGTGAGTGTGTGAGAATGTGAGAATGTGTGCGTGGGTATGTGCGCACGGCAGCTCCAGTCTTTGGCCTGACAGCCTCTCCCCACCAACCCCCGGGGCCGTCCTTGACGGGGGGGGGGGGGGGGGTGTATGCTTTGGGTAGGAAAACACCAGGGAGCCGCAGGTTGAACAGTTCTGCCCGTTTTGGAGGATACAGTGGGGTCGATTGGGGGCAAACAGCAGGTTTTGGAAGACGAGTATGGCTAGTTGAGCGCTGGGAAGTCATGCCTTGGTTCTGGAGGGGGTATACCTGACATAGGGAGGGTATAAGAGGGCTACGAAAAGAGAAATCGCCGCTCCGGTACATGATAGGGCCAGCGAGGCGGTAAGGTTGCAACAGCCACTCGTCTTAGTGGGCAGATTGCCGAAGGGGTGTGTAAGCAAGGCATACGTACTGCTGGTGGAAAAGAAGGGCACCCAACAACCAAGGCCGGCTGGCGTAACGTGAGTAGGACCCTTTCTTCCCCTTCTTAGTCCTGATCTCCTTTGCCGCCGGTGGCAGTGATGGCCTGCCCCCGTTCGAAATCCTGGTCGAAAAGCCTCGGGAACGGCGCGGAAGGGTCAAGCAGTGGCCCCAGGAGGCAAAATACCCCGGCCAGCCCATCGAGACGCCGTCCGCAGCAGGGGGATTTGCGTCCCGAATGGCAGAATGGTCGCGTCAGTCGGCCTTCGCCTCCTCGACAGGACGTTCACATGTAGCAGGACGGTGGGCAGATGAGACTGCGAGACTGTACAGGACCCAGCGCCCGCGCATCCGTCAATGGAACTGGCCGAAATGAAGACGGGGTCGGTGCCACGGTTGAGGTTCTAGCCCGGCAAATGCGGCGGCTGGTGATCCAGGCAGTCGGCACGCGCGTTGACGAGATGGGATGGATGAAGCATTGATGAGCTGACGGACGGGGACTAGTGAGCTTGTGGGGTAGTCGTCATGTTGCGTTGCGTGTGAGAATTACTAGGGCTTGGGGCGTGTGCGACTCAACGGCCAGGCCGCCTGATGGTGCTGTCATCGGAACCATGGGATGATAGCAGTCCACTCGAATCGACTAGCCATCTGTTCTGTTCGCAGAGAGGGATCGGGCGGGCGCCCACGCACGTGCACGTAACCATCTGAAGCTCAAGTTCCTTTCGTCTCGTCTCGAAGACTTGAAGGCATACCCAGATGGATGGATGCCCACACGAGCGCGGTGGCGTGCCGGCGCCCTCCCACCGGCCTACACCGGCGGCATGGAGCAATTGCTGACGGTGAGAGCCAGGAAGCTGTCGGGCGTACCTGTAGCCTGTAGGTAAGCAGAAGCAAAAGACCCCAGCAGCCGGCCGAGTAGTTTACCTTGTAGAGACAGGAGTGATCGAGGAAGAGAGGGGGAGGGGGCAACTGACGCTGAAGCAGGGGTCGGTCGGGTATCGCATGAAAGAAACGCGTTTCACGCGTACCTGGCAATTAAAAGATCAGTTATGCGATCCAGGGATCCCGGGCAATCTTTCTAGAAGGAGTGGGACGCCTTTCTAGCGTCTGATCACCTTATTTCTTCGACGTTGTTGGGGGCCCCTCATGGAATTTGGAATCGAGGAAGGGGGATCCTTTGGAGTGGTACCCGAACGATTCGTAAAACACGAACCGAATGGTTGGGCGTTGTACAAGCAAATCCATCGGCCTTTGTGGGCACGGGGACGTCGATCATACGCGAAAGAGGGTTCGGGGAGACGAAATGGGCGAGGGTGGTAACGATGCGATGATTTGAAGACTGCAGGGCAGAAGGGCGAAAGCCTGGGCGGAGAGGGCGGTGCAGAGGCAGAGGATGGCCAAGAGTGCCGGGATCGACCCACGAAGGGGACATCATGTCGCCGTCAGCGCGATATGGAGAGGATGATTGAGCGAGGACAGAAATTGCGAATTTGGAGATGATTCGATGCCGAAGATGCAGGTACAAATTGGAGGTGCAACCGGGACCGGGCCATCTTTTGGGTAGGTACGCTAAGGTAAGGTCCCGTAGTTCTTAGTCTTACTACATATACCTAGG